GGCAGCCCAAGGGCAGTCAGTGCTGGGGCCCGGGGCCAGGTGGGAGTGGTGTGGGATGCGATGCTCCAAGCCCTGAAGTTGACAGCAGATGTTAGGCCGGATCCGAGCCGGAGCCAGGGAACCGCGGATGACAGGCAACTAGGTGGGCAGTGCCAGCCAGAACCCAGCGGAAGCAGCGCCCTCCAGGTCCATTCAGACAAAGTGAGATGTGATGAGATGTGTGCGGGGCTGAAGGGGCAGGAGGTCAGGCAAGAGCCTGGGACAGTGAGAAGGGGCCTTGGAAACAGGCCGCTTTTCAAGTTGAACTTCATATTTTTCCTACTTCCTTTCACTCCAGAAATAGTCTGAGTTAATGGGCCAGAGCAAACAGTGCTTCTGAAAAGCTAAATTCTGGCAGCTCGAGTTTTCTTCCTTTTATACTAATCTTTTTCTTTGGCCCCTATTCACTAAGTGATTTTTCAAATATTTTTATTGGGGTGCCCAGCGGTGTGGCTCAGTGGTTGAGCATTGACCCTATGAACCTGGAGATCACAGTTCGATTCCCAGTCAAAGGCACATGCCCAGGTTGCGGGCTTGATCCCCAGTGTGGAGCGTGCAGGAGGCAGCGGATCAATGGTCTTTTCTCATCATGGATGTTTCTATCCCTCTCTCCCTCTCCCTGCCTCTCTGAAATCAATAAAAAAAATATGTAAAAATTATTTTATCAGGAGGATTTACTTTGGGTCACTCTGACTGGGGCTCCCCTCCCCTACGTGGCACCCCAAGTCCTTCTTATTAAGTGTGGGAACCCTTTTCTGCCCTGTTACCTCCCAAAGCCCCACCAGGGAACCAACTGCACCTTTCCCAGTCAGAAGCTTAACGTGTAATAGGTTTGCCCACTCCCTTGTCCCTGTTCCTGTGTGAAATCTGCTAGTTTCCTGGCTGGGAGCTTGTCAGGGGCTGTGCCCCGTCTGGGCCGCTCTTCCCTGTGTTCTGCACGCCCCGCTCCTTCAGAGGCGCTCTCTCACCCGCATTCCCCTTGCGCATCCCCATCAGATCGCCAGGTGTTATTTTCATTATGGAACTCATCACTAGCTGGTTTATTTTCTGTCCGTCCTTTCTAGAAAGATCTTATTTGTCTTGATCACTTCTGTATTTCTTGTACCTAGAACAGTGCCTGCCATGTAGTAGACACTCAGTATCTTTTTTTTTCACACTCAATATGAATGAGAAGAAAAATTCGATACGCTTTTTCGTTTTTATCAATATATGTATGTGGTTAGCTTTATCTTAGCTAATTTATTTTGATTAACTTGTAGATTGATCCAATCTCACCAGGCCTCCACGAACAGACTATCCTGTATGATGAAACTAGGTTCTATCTTGATCCTAAAGTAATTTGTTGAAATGTATGGTTTAAAGCCTGTGTACGCTTAGCTTCTAATAGTATAAAAGGTGCAAGAGAGTGTAGGTTGTGTCAGAAGAAATGTGCAAGTTTCAGGGGAAGTGCCTTGACTGGTAGGAGACTAGAGATGCGTTTGATTTTCTAGCAGCTCCTCACTAATGACTTAGCACGTAAGGATCTTGGCAAGAAGAGGGTGGTAGAGGAGCAGCCAGATTTTAGGGATGAAAGGAAGGAATGTGTGACCAGGAAATGAGCCATGAAAAGGAGGGAATTTGGACATGTTAACTATAGGAACATCAGAGTGAGCATCATTTGGAGATATGAAAGAAGGGTCTAATAGAAAAAGAATGCTGAGCGCCGATGGGAAAGGAAGAGATTGTGGCTATAACTCCCAGAGAGTGGGAGGAATCAAAGACAGGGGATGGATTCAGGGAGAGGACACACGTTTGGAGAACATGGTTTTATTCAATAGAAGTAAAAGGAAGAATAAAGCCAGATGGTGCCTTTTTTTAAAAAATTGGGGGGAAATTCACATAACATTCACCATTTTAGCCACTTGAGTGTACAACTCAGGGGCTTTTAGTACATTCACAAGGTTGTGCAATCCTCAGCAGTGTCTAATTTCAGGGCATTGTAATCGCCCCCAGAATAAATCTCACTCCCATTAGGCAATCACTTCCTGACCCTCCTTCACTCTGCTCCCTGGCAACCCCTAGTCTATTTTCTGGGCTAAGGATTGGCTTATTCTGGACATTTAATAGAAATAGAATCGTGCAATATGGGGCCTTTTGTGACTGGCTACTTCCACTCAGCATCAGGTGTTTAAGGTTCATCCATGACGTAGCACGTGTCAGCTCTTCATTCCTTTTTGTGACTAAATAATGTATCACTGTGTGCATTTATTTACCCACTCATTTGTTGATGGACATTTGGGTTGTTTCTGCCTTTTGACTATTGTGAGTAGCATTCTGCTATGAGCACTTGTTACCATGATGAATTATAAAACAGCTCTCCTGCCTCCATTCTGAGCTCGTTTTTTTCTAACAATTTTGTCTGAATTTTTAATTTAAAAGTTGATTACAAATAGGTCATACAAATCTCTATTAAGCATTCAGAACCATTTATTCCACTGAATTCTGAATTTTTAAAATGCAGTTAGAAGTGTAATACCCTTAAAGTATGAAGACAGTGTTAGCTTTTGAGGTCTTCTTTGCTTTCTCATGCAAGTTGTCGCAAATGGATGTTTCTATACCTACACACAAAAATGGTGACACGAATTTCCAGCTGGCTCGGCATTGCTCCCATTAATTTCTCAAAGCATTAGCAAAAATATGGGGATGTGCTTCGAAGGCTGTTTTCCCCATGCAATGGTCCTTCAGGCTCATCACTTGTCTGGAAAATAAATAAAAGTTACTTCTCTGACAGATATATGTACAGCATCTCCAGTGCGTTAAAGGGAATCCATAGAACGACATCTGAGTACCCTTTATACTATACAACTCAGCTCCCTTCCTAAAAGCATTACTACTTTGTGTTTATGTCTTTGTCTTCCATTATCATTTCAAAATAGTGTCAGAAGTGATTTGGAGAGATTGATTATATTTTATTAGAAACTGCTGGTGCTTAGATGTTACAATCAAGGTTTGGAAATCCATCTTGAGTATGATTAGCATTAAAATCAGCAAATCAGAAAATCGAGGTAACTTGTAAGTTATGCCAATGAGATCCAACATGCAGGTCATCATCACACGTGGCTGTTTTTATCTTCCACTTTCCAACTTGAGTTGGCCTTTTTTTTTCTAGTTGTAATGATAAAAATAAGGAGATAAACCAATAAATTGGGAGTTGAGGGACTTGAGTTAGAAAATGTTTAAATTTTAAGACAGCCCAAATAACTGGAGGAGCTCTGATTTGCCTTCTGCTCAAGTGAGGTCAGAGGCAGAGCACATAGAAAAATATATTTAGTATTTCCTGCTTGTTGTTGTTAAACTAATTCCAATGTTTAGCGAAATGAAGCAGGTTTGTCCCTCCTGTGTATGTGCTTCCATGTGTTAGTAAAGTTCCTATTTGATCTGAATGTGATAATATACAATTTGTTCTTTTTGTATTTTATTGAATGTATTGGGATGATGGTTAAAAACATTATATAGGTTTCAGGTATACAAATCCTATAATGCAGCGGTTCTCAACCTGTGGGTCGCCACCCCTTTGGCGGTCGAACGACCCTTTCACAGGGGTCGCCTAAGACCATCCTGCATATCAGATATTTACATTACGATTCATAACAGTATCAACATTACAGTTATGAAGTAGCAACGAAAATAATTTTATGGTTGGGTCACAACATGAGGAACTGTATTTAAAGGGCCAGAAGGTTGAGAACCACTGCTATAATGCATCATCTCTGTTGTATTGTGTGTTCACCAACCCAAGTTACCAACTGCTCTTAAAGCAAAAATAATTTGAATACTGAGCGGTTCAAGAGACTATTAATCATAATTCTTGAAACTAAAGTTACATTTGAACTAAATACTAGGTAATGAGGCCATCTAGTGGTAAAATTCCCAAGTTTTAGTCATTTTGAAAAGCTGACATCTGCCTTAGTACATGTGAACTTCAGAACTTATCAGATAGATGTTTTGTATGATCATTACACGGTTTTCTAGAAATTACCTTAAACAAAGGTTTTTTTCCCTTTTAAAACAGAATGAAGTCTCCTTGGTTATGTTCTGAAGCTCCTTTCTACAAAGTGTTAATTCACACACAGGATATTTTTCCTGATTGTATAATCAGGGCCACGACTGAGTTCTGTAAATAATAAGTATTGAGAACACAGTAGAGACCATGGAATGTTCGAGTTTATGTAGTTAACATTTCTTCAGTTTCTTTGGAAAAATGGGGGCCTATTATGAGCCAGAAAATTAGTAAGACTCAGGTCCTGCCCTTAAAAGCATGTGATTGTTGGTCTCTGTATTTAGCATATTTCAAGTGTCCACCAGAGACAGTCTGCTTATTCAAAATCTGCTAATCTGTGTGATAGACCCAGAAATCTGCATTTCAAATAAAGGCCTGTGAGTGATTTTTAGGTGCATATAGTTTGAGAATCATGCTATACCCTATACAAAGATCATACAATAAAGTCTTTTATTTGGGAACTTAGTTATATGCATACATTTAACTCATGTATGTAAATGTTAAACATTTGTGAGGAAGGAACACATAAAATCCATCATGCATTTATAGTTTCCCAACATGTTTCTCAACAATAAGAGAACAAAGAAACAAACTGAAACAAGAAGAAGTGGTATGTTTTTTAACTCTGCATGATTACAGTGTTCTTGACATCTTTTACCAAATGACGTGTAACACCCTGAATATTTCTTAGTAGCAAACAGTATATTTGCTAAACATTCAGAAAGGACACTTACATTAACCTGAGCTGCCACTGCCCTGTTGACTGCCCAGCTTTCTCTCCACATGGATATGACCTTGTCATTAAACAAGTTTGCTCTCGTGATTGCAATTAATTTAGAATATCTTTATTTGCCCCTGAAGTTACTGATAGCATTCACATATTAACCTGACTTTTCATTTATAACATGATCTTCTCCCCTAGGTGTTTGGAGTGGATGACAGTCAGGATTATAACAGGCCTGTTATCAATGAGAAGCAGAAAGACCTGATAAAAGACTGGGCTCTCGGTTCGGCCGCAGTGATGATGGAGGAGAGGAAACCGCTGGGCACACCTGGCTTTCACAACGCGGAGGTACCGTCTGCCCTCGGCTTCACTTCTTACATGCATGTGAATTCCCGTCATTTTAAAATAATTTTTAAATAAAATCTTAGTGATTTCAGAGGAAGGGAGAGGGAGAGAGAGAAACATCAATGATGAGAGAGAATCATTGATCGGCTGCCTCCTGCACGCCCCACACTAGGCATCGATGCCCTGACCGGGAATCGAACTGTGACCTCCTGGTTCATAGGTCAATGCTCAACCACTGAGCCGTGCTGGCCGGGCCTCATCATTTTTAATGATATTAAGTTATGTATATGTTCCCTAGTAAAAGACTCCTAAAAATGAAATCCTCCCAAGGTATTTGTTTCTAACAAAAGCCCAAGGCCATCATGCAGTAATTCTGTTTCTGTTCTTGGTACTGTGTTCTTTCAAATTAATATTCTGTTATCAGTGAGGGAAAATTTTAGCTTTCAGTAAGCAGTGAATGAGCTATACGCTCGCTGCTCTAATTGGCATTATTAGAGAAAACAAACAATATACACGGCTCATACTTTCTAGGAGGTCATGATTCAGAATGGAAACCTATGCAAGGGTGTGCCTGATAAATGCAACTTGTGACCTCAGGCAGTGTCATTAGAGAAGAGTGAAACTGGTCAAGGATGGCTTAGTGAAGGTGGTTATAGAGTCAGCATGATACGGCAGGGCCAGAAAGACCCGAGTTTAAATCCCAGAACCACCACTTCTGACTTGGTCACTTCCCCTCTCTTTCTTCAGTTTTCTCATCTCTACAAATGGTATCCTATATTATAAAGATGTAATATGCAAATGGTTGTTACGCCGTGAAGCATAATGACTGACCGAGTAACGACTGGATCAGAGATCAGCAGGAGGTTGGGACAGCGAGCTATAAGCAGGCAGCGGAGAGCTACAGAAGGGGGCAGGGCAACAAGCTGCGGGGGGGTGCAGAGGGAACTACAGGAGGGCAGGGCAGCAAGCAGAGAGCTTTTGGAGGGCAACAGTGAGCTACTGGCGCATGGATTCGTGGGCAGGGCTACTAGTTTTTAATAAATCTGTTTGCCAAGAGTTTAATAAGGTGTATAAAGCACCCAGCATAGTAATTGCCTGAGATTTATGCACTTAACAAATGTTTATTTCCTTATTGGAAATTATCATAGAATTTCATTTCACACTGATGTGTCAAAAAGAAATATAAAAAATGCACGTAACTGAGAAGTATGAATTAATTATAATTTAGTCAGATAATAAGAGCTAACATTCACTGGAAGCTCTCTGTGTACCGTGTTACAAGGCAGGAAACCAGTGTGTAGTGATTACCTTGGCCAAGGTCTTAAAACTAGTACCTTGTGAAGCTAGAATTTGAACTTTAAGCAGCCGTGATTTCTTAACTCATTCTCCTACTCATGATGCTCTGCTGCCTCTCAGGAAATGAGTTAATTTAGAATATACAAATGGTGAATAAATATAAAATACAAATAAAATCTTAAGGTATTAATAAAACAGAATATAAGTAGTTACATTTCTATGAAGTATACATAAAATATTTTTTATATTTCCTGGAAACTGTCAAAGCAAGTATTGTACTTTGGTGACCTTTCCCCCTTGATCTTAGAGAATTATTATTCTGGCTTCAGTTTTACAAGATGCTTAATTTACTTATTGAAAGCAAGCAATACTTATTTGAGGCAATGGTTTCATGTTCTGATTAACCTGGTAAATGTGAACTTAAATAGACTCTTCCTTCTTTTCTCTATCCCCTCAAACCATGCCAAGTCAGATTTGTCTGTAGCCCCATGTGTACCTGCCCCATTGATCAGCTGCCTCCTGCACACCCCACACCAGGCATCGAGCCCACAACACGGGCATGCATGTGCCCGGACCAGGAATCCGACTGTGACCTCCTGGATCACAGTTGAAGGAGTTGCCTAAACAGACCACAGGAACATTTTTACAGACTAGTCTTACTGCAGTGTGTGCCCCTGAAGCACACTGCATTCTGGGTATCCTAGCATGATGTGAATGGCTGAGGTACTTCTTTCAGTACCAGAATGATGGGTGGTTACCACAAAATCTTGAAAGGGAATTCAGGGATTCAGCAAGAATTCCTTAGGCTCCATTGTATGTATGTTATTATGTATACTTACTGTTTCAATGTATGCTTTTGAAATCATACAGTATATATGAAATATTTACTTTAGCGCAGGGGTCCTCAAACTTTTTAAACAGGGGGCCAGTTCACTGTCTCTCAGACCGTTGGAGGGCCAGACTATAGTTTAAAAAAAAACTAGTCGGCTGCTAAGCAACAGGCAGCGGCGGCAAAAACACCCAGCGGGCCAGATAAATGTTTTCGGCGGGCTGCATGTGGCCCACGGGCCGTAGTATGAGGACCCCTGCTTTAGCAGTTTCTAGCCTGTCCTTAATACAGTAAATCTGGCACCTTTAATAAAATGTCATTTTGAATAATTTAAAATAAGTTTTCGCCCTGGCCGGTTTGGCTCAGTGGATAGGGCGTCGGCCTGCAGACTCAAGAGTCCCAGGTTCGGTTCCGGTCGGGGGCATGTGCCTTGGTTGCGGGCACATCCCTAGTCGGAGGTGTGCAGGAGGCGGCTGGTCGATGTTTCTCTCTCATCGATGTTTCTGACTCTCTGTCCCTCTCTCTTCCTCTCTGTGAAGAATCAATGAGATGTGTTTAAAAAATAAAAAAAATTAAAAAAAATAAAAATTAAAAAATAAATAAATAAATAAAATAAGTTTTCAGTCACAGCTTCCTATTCCTTAGTTGTCATTCCAGTTTCAATATGAAGCCTTGGCTTAGATTTTTAGAGGGGAAACCATTTTTTTCTGCACTCCCTAGCTCTTCCATATTAAATGCCTAGGTGGCGCTGGTCTGAAGACTCACCATTCTATGTCCATAGTCTGTGGGACCATATCATGAATTAAATTCCATTTCACACTTGACTATGAGAGTTCAAAGAGCACTGCTTTAAGAGTAGATCTAGACATGGGCAGGTTTAGGTTCAGATCCGTTATAGAAAAATTCTTCAAGGTCAAGTAATTTATACCATTAAAGTGTTCTAGAAAGAAATGTCAAAATTTGGGTTTGGTTTTGAATCCCTGAAGACAAGACCTGGTAGATTTAATACTTCTCTCTCTCTCTTTTTTTTTTTAATATATTTCTTTATTGATTTCAGAGAGGAAGGAAGAGGGAGAGAGAGATAGAAACATCAATGATGAGAGAGAATCATTGATTGGCTGCCTCCTGCATGTCCCTGACTGGGGATCGAGCCCACAACCTGGGCATGTGCCCTTGGCCGGAATCGAACCTGGGACCCTTCAGTCCACAGGCCGACGCTCTATCCACTGAGCCAAACCGGCTAGGGCAGAATTAATACTTCTTGAGGCTCTGAAAGCAGTCTGATTCCTAGAAACATTACGAAGGATTTAGAATCCTGCTCCAAAGACTGGAATAGAGCTAACTCCCCTGTTAGAGCCACAGGGCTGTGATCATACACCTAGCAGCAGTAAACGTTAAGCTCCAGAGTTTATGTTAGTACCATTGTGAGTCTTTAAAGTGTTGAACTATACTACATTCGCAGCAATAATAAAATGTTGTCATTAAAAGGGGTACCTAGAGAAGCTTCATTTTATAGTAGACTAGAGGCCTGGTGCACGAAATTCGTGCACTCAGGGGGGGTCCCTCACCCAGGCCTGCACGCTCTCACAGTCTGAGAGCCCTCAGGGGATGTCTGACTGACAGCAGTTGGACATCCTTGGCGCTGCCAAGGAAGCGAGAGAGGCTCCCACCACCACCACTGCACTCGCCAGCTGTGAGCCTGGCTTCTGGTTGAGTGATGCTCCCCGTAGGGGTGCGCACTGACCACCAGGGGACAGCTCCTGCATTGAGCGTCTGCCCCCTGGTGGTCAGTGCACGTCATAGCAACCAGTTGTTCCGCCGTTCAGTTGATTTGCATATTAGCCTTTTATTATATAGGAAGAGGAAATGTAATCAATGATAATATAGGAATCTGAGGTTCAAGTATTGCTTTGTGTGACAGGTAAATGTGACTATCTGGAATTCTCTGCCATGAGAAGCAGGTTTGAGCAGACTACATTATCGTGTTTCCTTGTTTTCTCCCTTAGGAAGGCACGGCTGCATCTGGAAGCAAGCGCTGGGTTTCACAGTGGGCCAGTCTGGCTGCCAACCACACGAGGCATGACCCAGAAGAAAGGACCGTGGAGTTGTCTGTCCCTGTTCCTTTAGAGAATGGTATTTTCTGTGTGTGTCTGTGTGAATAACACATCAGTCTTAAAAACAAGCTAAATCTATACAGTGAGCAGTGAATTAAACCCAAATAAGCATATTCACATATGTTCATGCTTATGCTCCATATATCATTTTCATTTCACTAACGTGGAAATCATTAAAATTAATTCACACTGGTGAGAGAGATAATTTGTAGATGAAGCACATAAATACACAAGTGTATGTAATGTATATGAAAATTTTAAAAGACCAACACAATTCCAAGTCATCCCATACAACAAATATTTAAGTGCTACTTTCTGCCATACATCAATAAAAAAGATTCTACTTAATCTACTAACTGCATCTTTTGCAAATCTATGTAATGTGATTTTTATTACCTTTTAATTATATTTCTGCAAACTGAAATATCGGTTTAAAAAAAAACACACAAAATTATATGCCTCTAATGATATTATTAGATTCAGTTCATTACATTCTTATTAAAAAACCCTCAAGGAGAATTTGCATGTGGTTTTTTTTTTATTTGTATTCTTTGTTATCCTTAGAAATGGAAATAGAAATTTATTTTATCTCTGGCTTGTGGCACCCCCACAATCTGGTTTAGGAATTTTGTAAACATTAGTCAGCAATTCTTTGAACAAGATACACAACCGTGTACTAGGAAAGCTGTAGCCTTTACCAGTCAGGAATTGTAGTGGTTGTTAGTATGGCCAAAGTGTTTGGAAAGAGGGAGTAATTTACAGGTTGGTTCACAGAAACTAGTCCGTGATTGGGAAACAGACCAGACGGAGGAGCTAGGTACATTTACAGAAAGAATCCACTATAAAATTATTAAGTATTAACTGTGGGAAGTAACGTTCTACCCTTGTTATAAGAAATAGTAGACTGCCCTGGCCAGTTGGGCTCAGTGGATAGAAGGGTCCCAGGTTCCATTCCGGTCAAGGGCATGTACCTCGGTTGCAATTTTGATCCCTGGCCCTGGTCAAGGTGTGTGGGGGAGGCAACTAATCGATGTGTGTCTCTCACATCGATGTCTCTCTCTCTCTACCACTTCCATCCACTCTCTCTGAAAATCAATAGAAAAATATCCTCGGGTGAAGATTAACAACAACAACAACAAAAAGAAATAGTAGACCTTCATTATCTCTTTCCTATTGTAAATGAATTTATTTAGATGAGCTGATAAATCCTCTTAAATATAAAGTGTTCTTTTAAATATGTGTCCAGTGTGAGAAATGCTAGAAATATACAAAAAGATAAAATAGCTGTGATATTTTAGATACTTCAAGTAGCAAGGAGATAAGACATAAAATAATTTATGATTAATTACTCAAAGTTAAATCAGTAAGTCTAATATTTTCTTGCATCATAATCATTGTATTGCTATGAAATTTAAATGCTAAACTTTTAGAATTGTAATGGGAAGCAAAAGACCTATAAAAGCTATATCTAGCATATTTCCCCCACTTATCTTCAAAGATTAGGATGCTCTGTGTGTTAATTTATATTTCTCTGAAAGATGTGTCCCTCATTTCGAAACACATTCCATTTATTCAGGAAAATCCCCCGTATTTTCAAGTTCTCTTACATGAAAACATGAATATATGTATTTTCTCGCTGGCTTCTGATTATTTGAAAAAGAGAAAGTGATCATGTATTTCTCTATGAGGCCTTAATATACCAGACAACCATAATTTAAAATCCCTGCATTTGTAAAATTATGACAAATCCTATCAGCTTTTTTCATACTTATAATTGAAAAAATTCTTCTAATCAGCTTTGAATTTTATTTTTAGAAAAACTTGTTAAAGTCCTCGTTTTCTGTTTTAGTTTGGAATTCCAATTTATTCTCTCAGGTAGATAAAACGCTTATTAAAAACTAGGTATATTATTCTTCTTTACCATGTCATTGAAAGTATAGCAAGTCAACAGGGTTACTAGGCATTCTTTGTGCAATTCTGTAATCTGCTAGTTAGAGTCTGTTAATCTTGAGCAGAACTTAGAGGATGGGATAAGTCACAAACGCAAGAGTGACCGTGGTGAGCTTCCGTAAAACACATTAAAAGACAAGGAGGCAGCATATCTACATTTCAGATCAGACGACCCTCATTTTCATCTCATACAGTTTACTTTCCTGCCTCCCTAGTCAGTCATCTGCCTGTTTGTGAACTTGGCACTGTACTTGCCTTTTAAACTACTCTGTCACAATGCTGGCTTGTTTAGTCAAGGTTTTATTTTATACTTAAGGCTTTGCTTCACTTACACTTCAAACCCCAGTGTAATATGGTGTTTTTTGTATTTTCACTTTTGGCCCTGATTTCTGCCTTGTGGTTCTTCTTTGCAGATGCAGATTTCAGTGAGTCTGGCATTTCCGTGAGAAGCAGCGGCTCCGCAGCCTCCCTGGCTGGTCATGGAGAGAGGAGGCGGCGGACCCTGCCCCAGCTACCCAACGAGGAAAAGGCTCTTGAGAGCTCCCGAGCCAAGGCCCTGACGCCGAGGTCGGAGATCGGGGAGAAGCAGGACACGGAGCTCCAGGAGAAAGAGGCCCCGACGCAGGTATACCAGAAAGACAGGCAAGATGCCGACCGAGCCCTGGGCAAGGTGAACAGGGCGGTCAATGGGGAGACCCTGAGAACAGGGGGAGATCACAAAGCCCTCCTGCACTTGGGCCTCTCCTCTCCTGGGAAGGAGAGACATGAAGCTGACAAGGAAGCTTCTTTGGTTAAGCAAACATTAGCCAAAATTCAGCACCCGGAGCCAACGGAACAGGCACAGTGGGTACCTACTAAATTATCTTCCAAAAATGCATTGGGTCCGGTAGAGAGAAGTAGGGAGGAATCCCTTAGACAGGAGTCACAGCCTCATGAAAAAATCCCAGGACATTGTGCAAGCAAAGGAGAGAGGGCGATGCCAAGTGAGGGCAAGCGCAGAAAAGCCGACGAGCTTCTGAAAGGCCACCCTCCCAAGGGAGGGGACAAGAAGGACTCCTCCAAGCCCTTAGTGCGACAAGGAAGCTTCACCATCGAGAAGCCCAGCCCGAACGTCCCCATCGAACTGATCCCCCACATCAACAAGCAGACGTCAGCGACACCCCCTTCCTTAGCGTTGGCATCCGCCAGTAGGCTACGCGACAGGAGTGACTCCATGGACGCCGACTCCAGTCTGGACACCACCCTCATTCTGAAAGACACAGAAGCCGTCATGGCTTTTCTAGAAGCGAAACTGCGAGAAGATAATAAAACTGATGAAGGCCCAGAGACCCCCAGTTATAATAGAGACAACTCGATCTCCCCGGAATCGGATGTGGACACAGCCAGTACCATCAGCCTGGTCACTGGAGAGACGGAGAGGAAGTCAACCCAAAAGCGAAAGAGTTTCACCAGCCTCTACAAAGACAGGTGTTCCTCGGGGTCTCCGTCCAAGGATGTTGCCAAGTCCTCTTGTGGTGCTAGGGAGAAGGTGGAGAAGAAAACTAAAAGTCGCTCCACGGATGTCGGGTTGAGAGCAGATGGGCGGAAATTTGTCCAGTCCAGTGGGCGCATGAGACAGCCTTCGGTAGACTTGACAGACGATGACCAGACCTCCAGTGTACCTCATTCTGCCATCTCTGACATTCTGTCATCTGATCAGGAAACTTACTCTTGTAAACCCCATGGGAGGACTCCACTTACCTCAACTGATGAGCATGCACATTCCAAGCTGGAGGGAAGCAAGGGGACCAAGTCCAAGACGTCCCCAGTGGCCCCCGGCTCGGCCAGTAAGTCCACCACCCTCCCCAGGCCGCGGCCCACCAGGACTTCCCTCTTGCGCCGAGCACGACTTGGGGAAGCTTCAGACAGTGAACTTGCCGATGCTGACAAAGCCTCTGTTGCTTCTGAAGTGTCCACAACAAGTTCAACGTCCAAACCCCCCACGGGAAGGCGGAACATCTCGAGGATTGATTTGTTGGCTCAGCCTCGGAGAACGAGGCTCGGCTCACTGTCGGCTCGCAGCGACTCGGAGGCGACCATCTCCAGGGGTAGTGCCTCTTCAAGGACCGCAGAAGCCATCATTCGAAGTGGAGCCAGACTAGTACCGTCGGATAAATTTTCTCCTAGAATTCGAGCCAACAGCATCTCGAGGCTCTCAGACTCCAAGGTCAAAAGTATGACCTCAACACATGGCTCACCTTCAGGTAAATTGGATCCAGATATGTTATGATATTAGCATATTTATTTTGTGTTGTGGGACTCCTGTTTTAAAAAATTAAATCTCCAATGTTATTTCCCCAATATTCAACAGAAAGGTTACTCTAGAGAGAGTTTTTTCCTATAAAAATTATTTTAGCTTAGTAAGTAGAAAATTCAGAAGTCACATACACTTCCAATCAATATCCTGGAGTAAAATAGAGATTTCAAAATTAGACAAATACTGAACTGATCTTGGAGATTTAATTGTCTAGTTCAGTGGTTCTCAACCTTCCTAATGCTGCGCCCCTTTAATACAGTTCCTCATGTTGTGGTGACCCCCAATTTCATTGTTACAAATTGAACATAATTAAAGCATAGTGATTAATCACAAAACAATATGTAATTATATATGTGTTTTCCGATGGTCTTAGGCGACCCCTGTGAAAGGGTCGTTCGACCCCCAAAGGGGTTGCGACCCACAGGTTGAGAACCGCTGGTCTAGTTGGTGAGATATCTGGATTTGTCTGTCAAAATTAGATAGGAATTATTGTCTGGTTTAGATCATAGGAATTAGCACTTTGTTCCTAAAAGCATGTGTTTAACTTTCTAGTATCCTCACCTAATTCGAAACCCTTATGAACCTGAAGAAAAGCACTCTGCATTTTCTTACTCCTTTCAGAGCTGAATGAAATCATCAATATTTTGCCCTTTTTCCCCCCTATTTATTTTGAAATGTCATATGCCTTACTTATACTTTTAAAAGTTAGAGCTGTTGATGGTCGGGCAGGTGAAACTAACCCTTGATTTATTTCAGTGGAAGAAGATGGATTCGTTAAGAAGTCCTAAGCTCGTGGGTCAGAGTGGGCTGTAGAAATGTAACAGCTTCTGAGCATCATCTCACAAAGCACTATCATATTTAACCATAAAACCAGCTGTCATTAACATAATCTTTACAAAAACTACATATTCCCCACCAGATTTTAACTGCTTCTGGCACGTTTGTCTGTTTCTGTACTTCACATTGAGAGCTGAAGCCCGTGGAAATACTCGTGACCCCTTTGGCACTGACACAGATATTTGGGTGTCCTGTAGACATGGTCTTATTACTTCATAATCAGCCTCAGATGTGGGTGTGGCTGAAAAGGCCCGCCTGGGGGTTGGGGGGGGGGAGCCAGCTGTTAAAAACTTGAAGGTTCTTTAGCCTCAGACAGCAAGTATCTCAGCGCTAAGTCCTGGGTTACAGTGACAGGGAAGTCGGTAGGCAGTCTTTTTATTTTTACATCTGCACAGTAGAGCCTGCAAGACCCAAAGCTAACAGCACTGTTCATGTGTTACTTGTTTTCATTTTTATTCCTCCTCCTCTCTCTTCACTGCTGCTTCCTCCACTCTATTCACCTTTCCATCTCTGTCCTGGTCAGGGGGTGTGGTGATGGTGGTCCTACTGTGGTAGGAATGAGTGTAGGCTGAAGGTAGCATATACTCATGGTTCCACAAAGAATACAAGCATTTTGCCCATTGCCCCATCCTCTTGTTTCTACCCTTCAAGTTTTAGTTGGTGGTTCATAGATTGATTGCCAAGTATTTTTAAATGTTTTTATTGATTTTAGAGAGAAAGGGAGAGGGAGAGAGAAACATCAATGTGAGAGGAACATCCATCAGCTGCCTCCTGCATGCCCCCTACTGGGGATCAAGCCCACAACATGGGCTGTGTCCTGACTGGGAATCAAATTGGTAATGATCTGGTGCATAGGTTGACACTCAATCCACTGAGCTACACCAGCCAGGCTGATTACCAAGTATTTTTTTATTTTAAATATATTTTATTGATTTTTTACAGAGAGGAAGGGAGAAGGATAGAGAGTTAGAAACATTGATGAGAGAGAAACATCGATCAGCTGCCTCCTGTACACCCCCTACTGGGGATGTGCCCACAACCAAGGTACATGCCCTTGACCGGAATCGAACCTGGGACCTTTCAGTCCGCAGGCCGACGCTCTATCCACTGAGCTCTATCCACTGATTACCAAGCATTTTAAACTAACTACTACTATCTCTTGGTTTATGTTTACTCAGTGTTATACTGTTGTTCCTTATGGCTCTACCTCTTCAACTCACATTTGCTTTGTGCCCCATTCTGTGAGGTGTCCTCTGATATGTTGCTTGTTTCGTCACCTCATCTCTAAGTTCACAAAGCATTTCAGTACTCCCCTGTCCTAACATAGGTGGTAGCATGGGCTGTGTGTTACCCAGTTGCATGGGACGCCTCTCCCTCTGTCCTCATTGTAGCTCTTAACACACAAGCGATCTGGGGCTGCTCCTCAGTGTCTGACTTAAGGGCTTATTTGAGATGCAAACCAAAAGTGATGACTTCAGCAAGTCTAAGAGGCAGCTGTAAGATGTCATATTATCCTCACGTCTTTAAGGATGAGTTTTGTTCCGGCTTCTTTGAACACAGAGCTTGACAAACATGCCGTTTGCTCGTCCATAAAGTACCTGAATTGTTCACGGACATTTTCTAGGGCACACTGAGGTATGACATCTTGGCCTTCATACTTAAGAGCAGTGTGTTAAATAATTAAAATCATGGGGTGTAACAGCTGGCAGAGTTATCCCGTTCAGGTAGCTAAGGCAAGAGATGAAATCACTTGCTCTGGTCACATAGCTATGAAGGGGCAGGATGAGAATCCAGGGCTGGACTCCACTGCATTATTATCAAGGGCACATACGAGGCCAATACACAACATGAAGGTCTTTGTCATTCTGAAGTTTTACCAAGTTCATGTTCCTCCTGATGCCACATTCCCCATCAGGACCTGGGATTGTATATCTAGATTCTCCCAAGATACACATTTATATTTTATCTAGAAAGACAATGGCCAGAATATGTCAGTCAGTGGTACAATATTAAAGTAGCTACATGGGGTGGGTAGTTAAAAAACAGACAGACATACTTTTATAATGTTGCTAATTGAATTGTCTTTGATATTATGATATTTGTACTTAAGATAATCATAATATCTTGGGTGGAAAAAGAAAATAAAATTCTTAGCTTCTGAAATATGATTTAAAGGAATATGTGATTAGTGTTGCTATGCATACTGTAAACTTTAAAAATCTTTGAACTATCTGATCCTAGAGCCTGTGATAGAGCCCAAATTGGCATATGTAAAAATAATCCTGTAATAATTCATATTTCATATTTTAGGCTATGCCTAAAAAAGGTTTTCAAAGAAATATATATGATAAAAACAGAAGAATGAAAATCTCTTATTTAGCAAAATTATGAGTGAAGGTTTTTTAATACTTCTTTAATTCTGATGTAATATTTAACTAGTTTAACTAATTTTTTCTCAAAAATATTCCTTCAATTAACCTTTAATATCATTATATAGAAATGTCCAGATCTATATTAAAAATATGTTTTAAACTAAGTACCCTGAATTATCAAAATAAAGCAGTTGATTTTCATTATGTGTTAAGTACACATTCTAAAAAATAAAAACAACACGTTAATATCCTTAGAATTTTTTTAGACTGCTTTCCCTTTTTTATTCTAGTCCTCAAAATTTATAGATGGGGGGATTAAATGTTGGGTATTCATGGCTTAAGTCATTTGTCAGGGATCTTTTTCTCATGATCTTATTGCTACATGCTCGTAAAAACACATATGAAACATGTTTGTGGTTTAATTTCCCACAAAAGTATTATTATATGAAGCATGAAGATGTGGTGCTTGTTGTCTGAAATGCTTTTGTTACATCTATAAATGTGGATGTATTTAAAAGGCAACAAAGTTTTGGTAACAGTAAAAGAAATCAGACGATTCGTACATAAATGAGCCTAATAATTTTTCCATTTTTTAATTTTCTAGATCATGGTATGTTTTTATAGTGACTGTAGTTTATTACTTCCACAAGAAGGGAGTATTGCATAATTGTATAACTAAAAATAAGCTTATAATTAATGTAGCTGAGATAATTTTCAGGTTAGCTATGAAACTAATTAAGCCCATCTTAGAACTTTCTCTCATTTTATTATATGTGCTATTCAACACCACAGCAACCAAGAAACCTCTCAGAGATTGGCCTTTCCAATACCTCCATACATACTTTCAATCAAATGATTTATCTGGCATGCCTTAGTAATGCCAAGATATCAAATAAGCCTAATGATATCAAATTAAACTTAATTCTATAAATGATTTTACCCAAGCAGAATAAAATTCAAGAGGCTGAAGTAACATTTTTCTTCAACACAGGTAAAAATCTGAAAGTCTATTGTTCTATGAGAAATTGAGGATGCTTTTTTTAAAAAAAATTAGTCTAACTGGAAATATTTTTTAAAATAGAGATTTTCTAACATTTACTTGTCACACAATCAGAATAGTAAGGGATGAGTTTTGAACTCGGAGTCAGTAGACTTGGCTTTGCGTTAAACAAGGCAGGGCCTCTCTGGGTCGTCTCTTCTCTATTTTAGGCTATCTAACGTCTAAGGCCTTCTATTCTACGATTCTGTGAAATAAGTAGGCAATGTGGAAAGTTAAAAACACTAACTTCAAGTTTCTTTTGCGAGAACTAGCAGATTATAGAGATTTTCTTCAGGTAAATGTATAGCTGCTATCCTTAGGAAGCAAGGCAAAAGGTATTAAAAGAAATTCTTTAGAAATAGCAGGTCAGAGGTCCTGGTATTAACGTCCCTTTCCCAGCCCCTTCTCCCCAGTAGTCGTTTCGCTCTGTTTTAACTTCAGTCTGTGCTGTTACTAGACAAGCTGAGGGCTCCAGAGGTACCTGAGCTTTGCTGCCTAGTGCACTGTGTATGGCGTGTTTTCCACTGGAAAACTAACCCTTAAGTACTGGAAGAGCAATCATTTTCATTTCTCTGCTACACCCTACTTACTTTCTCTCTCATTTTACCATCAGTTTTAGAACAAACCTAGATAGCTACCTTCCTGTTTTTACAGTATGTTTTATTCTTTTGGTTGCTTTTCCTTTTAAAGATGTTATTAGAAGCTATCACCATTTTATTGGCTTCTTAAAGAGACCTAAAAAAATACGTGGAAAGTTTATGAATTTCTTATGAAAATGAAGTGTTTCTTTTATTTTTTTTCTCCAAAATTTCTCCACAATTTTCTGATCTTGAGACTCAGATTATTAAAAGTTCATTCTAGTGTGGCTCTGCTTATATACTGTCACATGGTGTGTAACACACATTAGTAGCACGTGGTCTCCGTTTCTCATTCTGCTTTTCTGCGCTCTGCCACTCATGAACCATATCAGCTATTGTGGCCATTCTTTCTAAATTGCCTCTAAATTGCCCACCTTGGTTCCATCATACCTGCTTGTGGTTTCATATCTCCTGCAGTTTATGAAAACAAAGTCTTTGTTGTTGGCATTGCTCTCTCCAAACAATTTTCAATAATGGGTATGGTTACCATAGTTTCCAAATCAGGAAGTTTAATCTAACAAATGATCTTTTCCTTACTTAACAATTTCCTTTTATGAACAATATGCTAAGGTACCAAAATAAACATTTAGCATTTAGCATTAAATGAAATGCCTTTAATGAAAAGTATGAATTTGTTTTGCCATATTACTGATGTTTTTAGCCATATTTTAATTGGTTTTTCGTATTTCTAATTTTTTCCTAAAACCACTTTGCTCTTATTTCTAAACTTTTCTGAAAATTGTTTTCAAGTTCTCAGAGTCAGTTTCATTAGGGAGTTTTCAAATGTCCAGAAATGAGTAAATTTCCACCATGGCAAAAGTATTATTTATGTTAATTATAAGTTATGATGTTAAAATCAGAAATTATATTTAATCCACCCTTCAAAACACTAATTAATTTCCCAGAGTTCTGCATGTGGGTTTGCATGCACTTCTGTAGACAGCCATGAAGTTTCTGCGTATCTTCGTTCTCTTATATCCATGACTCTAGTTCTGAGCTCCAGGAGCTTCCCATAGGATGTCAATTAGGACAAATGGGTAGTCCCTGATTTATGGCATATTCCTGATTGCAGATGTCTCTCTTTTATCTGAGAGCCGGCTCAGATACCCAGTTTATCTCCGCGCCAACTCAGCCTTACAGGGCCCCATGCAAAAATGTAGTTGAGGAGGAAAAGGCAGGAAAGATATAAATTCAAGGGGAATAAGATGAAGGAATTCTAGACTTCATCAACCTACACAGCCCAGGGTCAGTTTCTGCTTTTTTGTTGTGTTTTATTTGTTTTTTATTGATTTCAGAGAAGAAGAGAGAGATAGAGACATCAGTGATGAGAGAGAATCACTGATCAGCTGCCCCCTGCACGCCCCCTACTGGGGATTAAGCCCACAACCCGGGCATGTGCCCTGACCTGAAATCTAACTGTGGCCTCCTGGTTCATAGGTTGACACTCAATCATTGAGCCACACCAGCCGGGCCAGATTCTGTTTTTAAAGAGAGAGAAAGAGAAAAATATTACTAATATTTTTAGCAGTTGGAACTTATAGCAGGGGCTAAGGTTTTGTTACTTTAACCCAAAAAACCATCTCATGCTTTGTATTAGGTTTTTCCTAATTCGAGAAAAGCAGATGGTCATATCCAGGAATTTATTTATTTATTCAAACATATGAAACATTGGTAACTAGACACTCTGCTAAGTGCTAGCTATTCACTGATGGATTACATAGGCATAGTTCCTGCCCTCATGGAGTGTATTGTATTAATTTTAGAGAGGAAGGGAGAGGGAGAGAGAGAGAAACTTCAGTGATAAGAGAGAATCATTGATCGTCTGCCTCCTGCACACACCATACTGGGGACAGAGCCCGCAACCCAGGCATGTGCCCTGACCGGGAATCTAACCATGACCTCCCGGTTCATAGGTCGATGCTCAACCACTGAGCCACGCTGGCCAGGCATCTCTCTGTTTTTTAACCTCTATTTATGCTTCACAAATTATGTTGGATTCTTGTAACAGTCTTGGTGGTGAAGTGTCTGCATTAATTTGTTTACCGGTTTTTCAATGTGATCTCCTGTGCTAAATGTCAATGGTTGTGAGAGTAGCCTGCAGAGTTTTGCTCCTCGTAGCTTCTATGCCATTGTCTATTTCACCAGCTGCTCTCCGTGTCAAAGCAGTGGCATTGTACTAAAGATGCTTTGTCGTGTTTTTACATGTAAACAGATTTTTTCCAATCATAGCGTAACAGGATGTTGAGTGACAGAGGTAATGTTTTTTTTCTGCCATAAAGACATAATTTCCACGCAGGAATTATGCACGTTTGTATGTTGGGAAAAGAGGGTTTCTGTCATCTCCATGTTGAAAGTCCATGTGGCATGAAGAAATCTTTTCCCTAAATTTATTTTTGTTGTTATTGTTGCTGTCATTTTTTAAAAATCCATATCTTCACTCGAATGAGAAATATTAAAAACTACCTACGTTACACATGTATGAATAGAGCTTGCTTAGTTGTTTACCATCAGTGACTTTTTCATCTGAATGTTTATTCACCATATTATGGAAAATACAGTCTTTCGGTTATTTTTAATTGTTCATTGTTTTTAATTTACCAAACTGTAATGTTTTATCTTGAAGGAGTAGTAGACTTATGGTTTTTTGTGAGGTATGTGTATGTCAGTTATTGAAAATCATGATGTGTGTGCTCTCGTAGTGTTTTTGAAATCGTGATTTTTACTTGATCTCCTTTAATAGATGACATAATAATTCTTTTTTTAATAATTAAACTAATTTAGTAAATTCAAGATGGAGGCGCTTTCCCACTGATTATGCTTCCACCTCAGAAGATGAATTTGGATCAAACCGTAACTCCCCTAAACATACCCGTCTACGTACTTCTCCAGCCCTGAAAACCACACGATTGCAGAGCTCTGGGTCCGCCATGCCTACAAGTTCTTCGTTCAAGCACCGGATCAAAGAGCAGGAAGACTACATCCGAGACTGGACTGCTCACCGAGAGGAGATCGCCAGGTTGGTGTCGGTGGGTTATCTTTCAGGGTGGACATTGGGTGCCAGCATTTCACCTTGGTAACCAAGTTCAGCTTCCACTTGATCTGTATTGACAGCCCAAGAGGTGAGATCCACAGGTAACTGTGAACTTGGCTTTGTCGGAAGTATTACTCTCCATTTTTTTTTCCTTTCGTATTTTCAATGCCAGTGTTACTAGCATATTGTGGAATGAATATTTTTTGATTACTTTTTATTTATAATAGAGGTGCTGATGAGTCAGTATAATTTTTGAGAGGTAGTATCAGCTCTACATAATTAGAAGAATTGTACAGCTAAATTTTTGATTATTTTTCTTTTAAGAGGTAATAATGTACTTGTTAGAGGTATGTGGTTAATGTTCTCTGTGAAGAATTAGAGTAGGTACATTGTATCACATTTATGCGTTAATTAAGTATAGTCCAGCCCTTTAATTAAATCAAAATATGTTTATTTTCTGTTAAATACATTTATTGTAACCGTTAGGTTATATAATAAAAAGTAAAATTCATATGTGATTTTTAATTGATAACTTGTGGTTGAACATTGAGAGAAGCTATAATCAAACAGATGCTATAGTGATTAAAAGATAACTTTTTAAAAAAATATTTTATTGATTTTTTACAGAGAGGAAGGGAGAGGGATAGAGAGTTAGAAACATCAATGAGAGAGAAACATCGATCAGCTGCCTCCTGCACATCCCCTACTGGGAATGTTCCCACAACCAAGGTACATGCCCTTGACCGGAATCGAACCTGGGACCCTTCAGTCCGCAGGCCAATGCTCTATCCACTGAGCCAAACCAGTTAGGGCTAAAAGATAACTTTTAAAGTTCTTAAGATATCAGGGGAATTTTATTGCTGGATACCATATGTTATCTAAATGCTTTCATCATATCCATGCAAAAATTATCAAGTTTTACACTTGGCAACATTATTAAAGAATTACATATTAGTCCATAGGTGCTTTAAAAAAAATAAACTTATAACACTATGGTCTTTATCTTTTGTTTCTTTCCTCTATTAACTTCTGCAAATTGTGTTTTTTCTGCTTATTATCTTAATGTAATGTTTAGAGTTTTTTGTTTTTAATTATTGTAATTGCTTTTAATTCCTAGAGAACATGCTCTTAATCCCACTGTGCGGCTTAAACATTTTTATGCTACCGCATAAGTAGCATTGTCATGAGAATAACTATTGAAGCATGGTAAGCTCGTTCTAGTTAGAGGAAGGCATGGATTCTTACAGGCCCACAGAATCCCTGTAGTGAGGGAGTCTGCGCCACAGCTGGCAGCAGGAGGCCTTGCTCTTGTCTTATCATTTGTCCCTTCCGGTGGAGATGTCCCACCCACAAGTTCAAGTGCTGCCTGAGGTACCAGAGTGCATGTCTGCGTCCTCTCGGGAGCCTCCCCTCTCAAGCTCTCCACCCCAAACTAGAACCACTAAACGCCTTCTTGGCCAAACCCACACCCTTGCCCCCAAACAAAAAGAACGCAGAGGGAAAGGGGATGGGAACTGTGTGTGAAGTTTCACTTGGTTCCACTGCGTTATAATGTGCATTTTATTACTACTGTCCATGTGTGTTTTATTATCGAGAGCAGGACTCTAAGGCCAGGCCATGTAACCCTTAATGATCTTATGCCTTTTCCCTGTAGTTTGTCAGTACCACTATACTAATAAAATGTGCCTTTGAAATTTTAGCTTTTCGAAGTATATTTTTCTGCCATATTTCTTAGAGCCAGAGAAGGTATTTTGTTTGTTTATTTGATTGTTTGTTTGTTTTAAGGAATTAAAAAGGGGAGGAGGAAGGATAGAAAGCAGGGAAGGAAAGAAAGTAGAAAGTTAATGTTGATGTTCAGTGTTCCTATAGGACACTTTGTCAATAAAAGCACAATTGAGTGAGGTATGCCTGTCCCCATCCACTCAACAAAGAAATCTTCACCAGCTCCTGTGAGTGAAACAATGCTTAGCTGAGTGGGCTGTGAAGGTGACTGAGGCGTGGATGTCCTCAGAGAGTTCACAGTTAAAGGAAGGAAGCAAAGGTGTGTGTAACTCATAGAAGGCAGAGTGATGTGAGAGGTTGAAAAAGTATGAAGTTTTGCTCAAGTATAAGAGTGAAGGTGGCCCGGCCGGCGTGGCTCTGTGGTTGAGCATCAACCTACGAGCCAGGAGGTCATGGTTCCATACGTTCAGGGCACATGCCCGGGGTTTGGGGCTCGATCCCCAGTAAGGGGGTGTGCAGGAGGCAGACGATCGATGATTCTCTCTTATCATTGATGTTTCTATCTCTTTCTCCCTCTCCCTTCCTCTCTGAAATCAATAAAAATATACTAATTTTTAAAAGAGCAGGCATTATAAGATTGGATTTAGAAAAAAAGCAGATATAAGAGGTGTAAAATTTTCTATTAGCATAATCTAGAAGCATCACATAATTTGTAAGTTTAGATTTAACAACCATATGCAGATTCATAACCTATATTGCATTATAAATTTGCTATTTCTACTTGAAGATATTCATGTTTTTTTATAATTTGCCTTTTACTAATACTGTTTTTAGTAGATGTTGAGATTTTTAAACAGTGTGGATTTAAATTTAATGATCTGTATTAATAAGTCAACTTTAAGATAGGAATTGCCATGCAAAGAAAGAGCTGACATATACACAGCATACTTGCAAATTAAAAGAGGGCTTATTTGGTGCTTAATGTATATTCATTAAGTTGTTCATTTTAGTACAATTTTAGTACGACATGCATAACATGTTGACATTGCTGTGGTCTGTGTTGTTTCTAATTAATTCATAATGCTTTCTACAAATGTCAGAAATTTCATTGTACAAATGTCTGCTTAAAAAACCTTAAAAACAAATTGATTTTTATATGATTATTTTTTATCTCATTAAGCCTGGTTATCCTGTTTCTTGTCCTTGTTCTTTTATTTCAGGAAATTGCAGGAACTGAATAAATCATCTGGGGAACATTTTAAACCTTTTCTCAAAAGAATTACATCAATATTTAACAAGTTTTTTAAAATTATATGTGGAATGGTAATGTCAGATGTAGCATGACATAAAAAGATCTAGTTAGACCACTTACCATTTGTGACCTTAACCCAAAACTGGTCACATAACTTCGCCTAAGGCTCTTTTTCCTCATCTGTAAAACAAGATGATAATACTTCTTTTACAGGTGGTTGTGAGAATTAAATGAGTTGATGAATATAAAGCTTTGAAATGATGCTCATCCTGTATAATAAAAGGCTAATATGCAAGTCAATCGAACAGTGGAACGACCGGTCGCTATGATGCGCACTGACCACTAAGGAGCAGACACTCAATGCAAGAGCTTTCCCCTGGTGGTCAGTGTGCTCCCACAGGGGGAGCACCGCTCAGCCAGAAGCTGGGCTCACGGCTGAAGAGCTCAGTGGTGGTGGTGGTAGCCTTTCCTTCCTCTGCGGCAATGCTAAGAATGTCCGACTGCCAGCTTAGGCCCATGGGGAGCGGGCCTAAGCCATCAGTCAGACATCCCCCAAGGGCTCGTGGACTGCAAGAGGGTGCAGGCCAGGCTGAGGGACACACCCCCCCCCCCCCCCAGTGCACGAATTTCATGCACTGAGCCTCTAGTTATATTATAATATAATGGTTGTGATTATATTATATATTTTAATATCATATTTTGTTTCATTACATTATTCTAAGCTTATTAGGGGGACCCTAACCGCTTCTTCACCACTATAGCTCTTAGAGCCACGCACAGTGCGGCGCACATAATGAGGGACCAGGAAATATTCACTCTGGTAGATAAAATAGGAATTGACCACAGATTGCTTCTGTTGGGCCATAAGCCTCAACCTAGCTTCTCTTTTTAAATTTATAGTTAAAATTTTATGCAAATACTCCATTCCTTGTAAGTCTTTCAAGGTAACATTTTTGCATAAGCTAAAAACAAATGCTACATTGTCCTTTGGATTTTAAAGTCGCAGGGAGCTTAAACATGTACTTTTAGAATGTTCTGTCTTTTCAAAACCTTTCCTGAGGGAGCAACCAAAATTGAGTTCATGTGCAGCCGATGTTTGAAGTTGGAAACTTTGAAGTTTCATTGAACTGAAATCTTTTGGAGGAAAACATTAGTATCAGTGGTAGATTTTGTGAGTTTCTCCCTCTTAAAAACATAGCAGTAGCCTGCCTGGCATGGCTCAGTGGTTGAGCACTGGTAACAGTTACTTAGTTCTTTATGGAAATGAGCTCATGTTCATAAAGAACGAAATAACTGTTATCAGTGATCATCAGAGGTCCTGAGGTGTGGTCCTGCCATAGCTGCCTTTATGCTGTGTGGTCATGAGTGAGCCACTCAGCTTCTCTCAGAATGTGTCCTTATCCATAATCAGTTAGATAAGACCTACCTCACAAGAACGTTGTGGCCTCAGATGACATGTGTGTACTATGAAGTGATGTACACAGGAGCGTAAAGTGCTCCCCGAAGTTCTTCTTGTACCATGGACCCCTTTGGCCATCTGCAGAAGCTACGGAGCTCTTCTCAGGACAGTCTTTCTAAATCATAAACATGGAATTGCAGAGAAACGCAATTATATTGAAATACTGTATAGCTATCAAAATACCACTGAAGCAGTATAGTAACATACAAGGGGTCCCGGATTTCAAGAAGGTGTAGGCCAGGCTGAGGGACCCCACCAGTGCACAAATTTGTGCACCGGGCCTCTAGTAGTAACATATGGTTCTTTGTTAAAATACCGAAGTGAACATCATTGCTGTGAGTTTAATGACTGCAGTAATTTTGAAGTAGTGATGACTAAATGTTTTAAGTTACCTGTAGCAACTATAATGTGATTTCTGTTGGTGTCAGAAATCACCAGTATTGCTAATACTACTATTGTTTGCTGCTTGTATTTATAACTGAAAATGCTAAGCTTCTGTTAGAAGTCAGTGAAAATAAAGTTGTAATGCTTTTTCTCATCCAAGTGTGTTTAAAAAAACATATCACTACTTCAGGGTGTTTAATGTATATTTTTCAAAATAACAACTTAAGATTATATGGAATTTAGTTTTATTCATTTAATTCTTTTAATATTTATTTTTAAAATATATTTTTATTGATTTCAGAGAGGAAGAGAGCTGGAAAGAGAGATAGAAACATCAATGATGAGAGAGAATCATGGATCAGCTGCCTCCTGCACGCCCCACACTGGGGATCGAGCCCACAACCCGGGCATGTGCCCTGACCTGGAATCAAACCGTGATCTCCTGGTTCATAGGTGGATGCTCAACCACTGAGCGACACCGGCCAGGGCTTATTCATTTTTTAAAAATTAAAGTTTAAGATTCCAAACATCAAAATAGTTAACACCTTAAGTTTGGGGTACACATGTTTAGATGTACAACTTACATAACTGGTTCCATCATAAATGATGTTTCTAGAGCTGTTACTGAAAAGCGATTAAACTTCTCTTTTAAATTATTCCAGGATCAGCCAAGACCTTGCTCTCATTGCTCGGGAAATCAACGACGTAGCCGGCGAGATAGACTCGGTGACGTCCTCGGGCACTGCCCCTAGTACCACAGTAAGCACTGCCGCCACCACCCCTGGCTCTGCCATAGACACTAGAGAAGAGGTAGGAGAGCCTCATGGAGAAATGCATAAGGTTCTTTCTTTTCTTTATTTCTTTTGCTTTTAGCTTTTTGCGCAGTTTATTTTACTTACGTCCGCCCTCCCTGTCTGCACGAAGCTCTGCATTTTCCATCTTTGCTCTAACAGATTGCTTTTATGTGTTTGTAACAACACTCGGAAAGACTAACCCTTGTCTCCTACTAATATTGACACGAAGTTGTGATATTATTAACAATAAGTACTTTGCTAATTATTGATGCACAGTTTCACTTAAAATATGAATATAAATGGTATGTGAAAAGCAAGCCAGAATTTGATAAAGTTTCTGTAAAATTTGGCTATGAAAATACTTCAATTAAAAAGGTATATTTTCCTAGCTAATTAATTAGGAGATGGCTCTAATGGCAAGGAAAGAAAAATTCTAGTTTCACTTCTACTCACAAACATATATACACAAGATCCTTTGAAAATTTAAATGTGTGTATATATACTAGTATGTGTATACATATATATGTTCATACACACACACACAAATACATATATACATTTTCATTCTTGAAACTTTCTCATAAACTGTGGAATGTAAATTAACAGGCTATTGTCCTTCCTGCTCTCCACCTCTAGGGGGCAGCATTTACTTAACATTGTTCCAGAAGGTACCATTAACACAATGTAAAATTGATGGTACTCTGGTCATGTTGGCTCTCTTGATTTGGTGCAGAAACACAAACTGGTGCAGAAACACAAACAAAAGATTGGCACTTGAAAGAATGATTGAAGTTTTATTAGGACAAAGCCACACTCGTTGTTTAACGATAGCAGAATCCAGTAGTCGGACGGAGACTGGGTGGCCTCTAACTAAAATATTTATTCTCTGGCCCTTCACAGAAAAACATTTGCCAGCCTCCAATATTGATGATTCCACATCCTTAATTTATAAAATAGTGTTCCCAATATTAACCAAAAATGGCTACCCTTTTTGAGAAGTTTAATTCTGGTTATCGATGCTAATAATACTGTCTTTGGTTGCTTCTTGTCACATTCCTTTTATAGTCTAACTTTTTAATGGTCACTTTTTGGTGTTTTTTTCCCTTTATGTATTGCCTAATTTGGTAAATGGTGCTTCATCAGTCTGTGTAGTTTTGTTACCATGTTGATCAACTGTATATGTATATAAAATTATCCTTTTTTGGTGAAAAACAGAATCTTCTTGGTGGCAAGACATACACAATTTTTTCGGTACATTTAAAATGATAAAGATAATATTTTCTCAGCTGTCTAACTAAATTTTATCTAACATGATGATTCACTCAGACCCAGTAAAATTATTCATACATTTCACTGAATAGACTTTCATTTTTCTTTTTTATTTCTGAATATTATACTAGAATATATTCCTTCTTCAGTAAACCTGACTTACTTTGTATTATACGTGTGTAGTTTGAACTGTAGGTGGCAGTATATCCTTTTTGTTGGAATACGTAATTTCTGTCGCATTGTTAAAAATTTCTTTGATTAAGACCAAAATACTTATTTTGTAGATTTAAAATTTTTTCCTTTTGTAAATTTAATTGGAATTTGCAATTTATGTATCTATGAAGAAATTTAGCACCTGGATTTGGGGAGGAAAAAAAAGGAAAAACCAAGATAGGAAACTAAAAGAAACAGAACCATTATTTTACGCTGGTAAGGCGATGTGAGTAATATGAGCTCCTTGTCCATCTATATGGCTCAGCTTTTCCAATTTACCATCCGTTTTCCATTTGGGGGAAATCTTGTCCATGGAAGAATCAAATTGATAATAGCTCTGTATTTTGGATTTTGAAAATAGAATCTATGTAGATGAACATCTGTTTTATAAAAGACACCTTTGGCGTGCTTATGAAAAGAAAGAGTAATTGGTTTATTGAAGATATCATGCTTCTCTTACTACCTGAGAATGAAATAACTTCTGTCTAATCATAAAAAATGATAATGCCAATATCTGTGCTTTTCCAAATTATTCTCATAAAGGTTTGCTCTTGTCCTATTAGTTGGTTGATCGAGTTTTTGATGAAAGCCTCAACTTCCGAAAGATCCCGCCATTGGTTAATTCTAAAACACCGGAAGGGAACAACTGTCGGGCTAACGATTCAAGGCCTCAACCGCCAGAGCCTCCTGATCACTTAACAATCACGAGGCGGAGGACCTGGAGCAGAGATGAGGTACGTAAACCATCGGCATCAACTAGCGGCAGAGAGGGATGTCCATCTGTGGGAGAGGAGGAACTGTTCAATAACTAGGCTGGGAAAAGTGCTCGTCTTTTTTGTGGTTTTTTTTAAAACATACTTTTATTGATTTTAGAGAGGGAGAGAGAGATAGAAACATCAATGATGAGAGAGAATCACTGATCAGCTGCCTCCTGAACACCCCCTACTGAGGATCAAGCTGCAAATGGGCATGTGCCCTGACTGGGAATCGAACCGTGACCATTGAGCCACCCCAGCCAGGCAAAAATGCTTGTCTTTAGGGGTAGAATGAAATTCCATCTTGACATCACCTCATATACAAATAACTCCAAATGAGTTAAGTTTTACAGGGTGAAAGTAAAACCTTTAGTAAAAATATATTAAATATCTCTCAACATTGCAGTAGGGAATGATTTTTTCAAAGACACAAAAAGTTTTGACTTTAAAACATTGATAAACGAGTATATTAAACAGGCAACCGACAAAGGATTAGTATCTATAATATATGAAGAATCTTACCAATCAGTTAAAAAGACAAAACAATCCAATAGAAAAATCTATTTCAAAACAAAACAAAACGTGAACAGTATTTCAGTGAAGGGAAAACACCCAAGAGCTAAGTCAGTGTGATATGCAGGGGTGGTCCAGCTCCCAGCTGGGGGGGGGGGGGTTGAAGG